TTATAATACCAAGGTACCTTCATTGCTCATTATAATTGCATCTGAAATGGTAAGATATTTCAGAACTATAAAATTCCAAAATATTAGCTACTTTAATGAGGGAGATAACAGAGAGTATGAACAGAATCTCATTAACAAGTTGATTCTTTTAATAGGGACACAGTTAAATAATGTGAAATTTTAAAAAGATAAGAAACAGGAAAAAAAGAGAAATAAAAGAATGAAAAGAGGATTGAAGAGAGGAGAGAGGGCATAGAGAATAAAAAGAGAAAGTGAGAGCAAGAGCAAGTGAGTGAAAGAGAAAGATGTAAAATAGTGTGTTAAATGATGTTGGGATTATATGATTCACTATGGATAGAGACTCTACAGTGTCATAGAAAACCCACTAGTATAGTGAGTGATTTTTTTTTTAATAACTGAATTTTCTAATGACCTTAATCAGGTTGTAATTTCCAGTGGATGATGCCATTCTGGTATTTTAAAGAAATTTCCATAGTATTTCTATTTTCCTCAGATTCTAAAATTTCACAAAAGCCTAGTACTTTTAAAGTACTCCACTCACTATAAATAAATGCACCATTTTCTTGTTAAAATCAGCCTTGCCTAAAATGATCTGTAGCTGAACAGGAGTAATAGCAAAGGTGTGAACGACTTCAGGGAAGTGTTAACTTCAGAGCCCAAATAAGAACATTTAAATGCTAAAATATTTTAGCAACAGCAAACAGATGTTTCTTCAAAATATCATTTTTTTCATGTTTTCCAAGTGGCTTTTTCTATGTAGTCTCTTCTTCATTCTTCAAACGTGGACTTTCCTGCCACTTTACCAATTTTCAGTGCCCATTCATCCTTGAAATGCTTCATTTTTACTTCTCAATCTCTCCTCCTCTGCAGTAATTGCAATGGAAGATGGGTGTATGGTTTTGCTCTAAAAAATGAATTCAGTGTTAGTGACATGTACCAGGCTGATGGCACTGCATTGTTTTAATCACAGCAACCCAGGCACCAAACAACATATCTCACAGTTGCCTGAACAAATATTCTCAATTCTATTCTGAAAGAAGAGACAACGATTAACCCTTTGGCTTAAAACATAATTTGTGTTAATTTTTTAAACGGCTATGCATGATACAAGTTTATGCTTGAAAAGACATATTGTATTGATGTTGCCAATCAAATAGCCATTAGATCCTATTGAATTTGGATGGCTCACTAAGGAAGACACCTGCCTACTAATTGTACGTTGCAATTAAGTTTGTGATTGCATAAAAATTAACTCTCAAAAGAAGATAAACACATATTTCAAAGACAGTTTGGATGATTCCAATGTCCTCATAAGCAAATTTTGTATTCCACAGGGCATAAGCATTTCTGGTATTGTATCCTTTAGAATATGAATTAAAACTTCTCTCTCCCTGCATAAACATATAACCAACTATGGACAAAATGCTAACTCCAAAATAATGTTCCCACTATCTAAAACAACAACCTATTCCCACAAACATCAACTAATAGTGGTTTCATCATGTTAAGACAACAAATATAGGCATAAGAGTCAGGATAAATAGATTTAAGTTAAGATTTAGCTATAAAAGTGTAGGGTAGAGTTGATAATCACAAAGTCTCATACTCATCTAATAGTCTCTAAGTGAAATAGTCATGGTCTTTTGAATCTAAAGCAAAATCCTATGGAAATGTTGAGAAATCTGGACAGTCTGTCTCAGTGAATCTTTTTTTTAATTGAAGTATAGTCACTTACAATGTATCAATTTCTGGTGTACAGCACAATGTGATATATATTATATATATATATATATATATATATATATATATATATATATATATATAACTACACACACACACGACTACTATTACTTACTTACTTACTTACTTATTTTACTTTTACTTTACTTACGTTAAGTTAACGTTAATAATATATTA